GACAGCCATCATAGACTGCATACCCATCTCAGCAGCAGCCCCCTTCTGATCGTCACTGAATTTGTCAGTCAAGGCAGTCAGTCGTTCTTGGGAGGCTCTGTTACGAATATGTTTCTTCTTCTGCAAAAAACAGACATAAAGTGATCAGTTGTTGCCATGTTTTTACAAAAAAAAAGGATATCAGTTGTTGCCGCGTTTTGCAATGTAATGAAATTTTAGTTCGTGCCAGACGACTGCGGGCTCAAAGGTGTCAACCATTAACATACATCAGGAAGAAGGGGGGTGTGTGTGAACATTTACCTCATCACCCTCTTTTCTCCGCCCAGTTGCCCGATTACGCTGTGGTGGATCCATGAAATCATCATCGTCGTTTTGACGATCGCCACGAGCCATTCTGCTGAGATGGGAACATACCAAATTGTCATGGTGGAAAATGTAAATGCAAGGAGGTCAGCAAAAACACTTGCTGCATGCAACGCATACGTGGCATCTGAAACATTTGATATGCAAATTCGGTTGCCACATTGTGCAGCCAGTTTGCCACACTATCTTATATGCAGAATGGCAACAGGCAGTCTGTTCACACTCTATTTGCCACACTGTCTTATATGCAGAATGGCAACAGGCAGTGTGTTCGCACTCTATTTGCCACATGAATGTACTACCTAGATGGCAACAAGCACACTTTAAGTGCGCAGTGGGGCTCTTGAATGCCCACTGACTACCGATTGTGGCAACTGTCACACCGTGGTTACTGTCACATATCATTCGGAAACACACACTGGCCGCAATGAAAATAGAATGGTTGTGGCACATAACACAGGAATTCAGCAAATCTTAGTTGCCACACGGAAAAAAGAGAGTGTGTGTGGCAAATATCACATTACTTCAGCAAAATTAGTTGCCCACATGGAAGAACGTGTGTGTGGCAAGTATCGCATTACTTCAGCAAAATTAGTTGCCACATGGAAGATCGTGTGTGTGGCAAGTATCGCATTACTTCAGCAAAATTAGTTGCCACATGGAAGATCGTGTGTGTGGCAACTATCACAGACAATGAAAAAAAATAGTTGCCATGTGCGAAAGCTAACATGTGGCAACTAACACAGTCGTTTTCAGTAATTTGTTGCCGCAAGGGGAAACACGTTTGTGGCAACTATCAAATATGTTCAGGGAGTAAGTGGTCGCGTAATCATGATAGTTAATGTAACTATCAAGTTCGCCTCATTCCGCATTTTCAAAAACGAAACTAACTAGATCTAGGGTTCAATGGCAACTACTTCGACTTCAAATTCACCCTCGAAATTCTCCCACGAACTCACTGCAAAACACAAAATCGAACCAACGCGCATCAAAAACTACCCGGAAGACACCTGCTCAATCCATATGCAAAGACTAGTGCGTGCCTCCGAACAAGCAGAACCACGCCGACGATGCCTCCGCCGCGGCCGCGACGAAACTGGCCAGTGCAACCAAAAACATCTAGCAGATGACTTCGGCGCTGGCGGGAATGCCGACGCATCGACGAATCGCCTGAATCTCTACGAATCTCGAGCGAGGAATAGAACAGGGAGGGAAGGGGAGGAAATGCAGGAAGGGATTGCGAGGGGTGCAGCGAGCAGTACCTTCAACCCGCAGGCGCTCCGGCGAGCCGCTCCGTTCCGGCGAGCACCACCGACGGTCCCGAACACCGTCGATTCTTCCGCCCTCGCCGTCGCCTTCTCCCCTCGCCTTCTCTTTCGATGGTTGGAAATGCGAGTGTGTTCTGCCAGTAAATGCGGTGCGGGAGAGTAAATGGGAGCGTGAGGGAGAGGGGGCAGAGGCGTGCGACGTCAACCGCAGTCGAAAGCGTGGCGTGCGGGCGCATTGCAATTCCACCGCATGACTCCGATGGCAACCGCTGACCGCGGGGTGGCAAACAACGTGCGGGCGAACCTACTCGCACAGCGCACACGCGCCTCATCCTACGTGGCGCAAAAAACCGCCTGGTTTGTTCCAAGATTCGTGCACACACCTGCCAACGGTGATGCTTGCGTGTGGTCGGGGTGGTGAACGCCTACACATGTGGGCGTTAACATTTCCGAACTTTTTATACGGATACAAAAGTAAGTCAACTTTGTTTCAGAAATAGTTACGGAATTTTCTGGCTTTTTCTGTAAGTAATAAATTATTGTTTTCCTTATCAGGTGCACCGTCGACCGAGTGCATCAGGGTATTACCCTTGGATTGGATATGTATTATGTACGAAGATGATTGTCAATTCGTATTATAATCTAAAATTACACAGCCACTCAAGATTGCACAGGGCCCGCCTAAAATAGATTGGGGTTTTTTATGCCCTTTCTAGGTCACACGTCGGATTGGGTTGGATTACCGATCACTAATCTTTTCTATCTTCTTTCCGAAGATAGGAAAAGCGATCTAGCTCTCCGCCGCCAGTGACTCGCGCTCTGCCGCCGTTCTCTAGCGGCTCCCCTCCGTCGACGACCTCGGTCTTCGGTGATGAGGGGGTCGCCTGATCCATGCGCGTGGATTGTTTTATGCTAAAGTAGCTTAGTTTTGTAGGCTGATCATCGTCTTGGCTTCGATGACGACGATGGCGGTGATGAATAAAATTTCTTCTGATCCTACTCCGATGGAACGATTGGTCCTATCGTCGGGGCTGGATTTGGAATCCTGTCTATTCAAGCAAGGAAGGTGTGGCGACGGCGGCATCCTCGTGGTGAACATGGATCCTCGGGCTCCGCCATTGCGATGGCGTATGTTCCAGCGTCGGCGCAGAGGTTGGGAGGTAGTACAGGAGCGGATGCAGATTGTAGTCTGCATCAACGACATTTGAAAGACGGAACGTGTGCTGGGTTCGTGGTTGATCGATGGCAGGTGTGGTTTCCTCTCCTTCGGCGTCTTAGTTGTGGTGGGGTGTCAGATTTGAATTCCATGGCGTGTTCGGGGTGTTTCCCCGGTCTGATTCGTTCAACGACAATGACTTCACTTTTGGGGAGCCACCTTGGGGGTCCGCAAAAGTTGCATATCAGCGATAGAGCCGCATCGAGCTCGGGTGAGTAGGTGATCCGTCATTCTATTCTTTGGTGACTGTTGTGGTGGTGCCGGAGGCAGGTGATGGACGTTGGTTTTAAATTCAGAGATGTTCTACTATCTTCTCAGTTTTCTCATGTCGGTCTTTCCATGACTTGTACTTTGATCTTTATCATATGAATGAGACACATATGGCCATGCAAAAAAAAATCCGGCCTAAAATTACAAGAAAAATAAGCTTGGCTTTCACGTGGTTTATTTAGAGTATCCGATAGAAGATGTAGATGCAAAAATACCTAATTTTTGCATCTCCGAGGCCCCAAAATCCCTCTCCAACAGATGATGTAGATGCAAATTTTTTTACCTCACCACCTCCCGTAGATTTAAAATACAATACCTTGCCTTGCAAATTTGCATCACTGGGTGCAGGACATATAAAACGACCACCTGTGTGCCAACCGTCAACCGTTGTTCATTTCATTTGCCCCACCCCATTTTTCTTCCTCCTGCCACCGCACGATTCGGTGGCTGCCCGCCGCAGTGCGCCCCTGCCGCCCCGCGATCTGGCCGCCGTCCACCGCTTGATTTGACTCCGCAGTCGTCTCCACCATCGGTGCAGCCTCCGCCATAGCCTCAACCTCCCCCGCACCGCCACGTCTCCTTCACGTCGTCGCCTCAACCTTCCCCGCACCGCCATTGCCAACCACCATCGCGTCGATGCCCCGCCGTCGTCTCTGCCTCTCCTGCCCCGTCATCGCCTCAGCCTCCCCTGCCCCGCCGTCGGCAACGACCACCGTGTCGACGCTCCGTTGTTCGCCAACCACCACTGCCCCCCTCCCCCCTTGCCATGTCGTCGCCATGCCACCGAAGATGACCCCGAAGAGAAGGACAGGGCTCTTCGGTGTGAGGGCGAAGCCCTCCGGCAAATATTATGGTTGGGAATATCCCCATACAAGTGTTGCCAATATTAATGGTCACTGGCTAGACATATACCAAATAGGCCTAGAATACTGTAAGGGTGGGAATGCTTGCATTATTATGGTTGATTTGGCTATGTAGAAATTACATTGTTCTTAATGGCAAAAATCCTACTCCTATGCAGGTTATTTACCTTATAAGCACTGGCTTCATATATGGTCTATATTAAACGGAGTATCAATCATTGTTCAATGTGGTTTGTATGATGAAATGGATGACTGTTCCACCACCTCCTTCGACATGGCCATATATAGTGTCGGTCCTATATGACCTTACTGTTGTCGATATGTCATATTTTTTCGTTGTGTCAGACTGGTTATGTTGACTGTATGTATCTTAGCTACGCGGAGGCCGGGCGTTGCTCATCATGCTTTGTATCCGTTTGATGCTACATTTTAAGTTAATAAAACATCATTTTATAATAATAAAAACTAGATAATTGCTACACTGCATTAATCCATGATATAGATATTTTGATGTCCAGATGCATGCAACGAGAAGACCGTAGTAGTACTCGAGATAATGCTCGTTGCCGTCACAATGCAATGTAACAGTGCCCCTAACTACAAGTTGCTATGTATAGGTAGGCAAGTGAAGACTCACAGATATTTCATCAGTCCATCACCTGTCATTTCTGCAATCGATCGAGCCAGATAATCCCTGCAAACCACTTCATATTGTCGATTGATCATGCTAGTTGCATATCTGATATTGTGAGTGGCGAAGATCTACATACAAGAGCAGAATACTACTGTATGCCAAGTTGCCAACCCCCTATAAATATCACAACTCCAACGCAACGAAAAATATGCAAGTTAGATCAAGATTAAACACAATTAAGCAAGGCACTTCAGGTTCGATCCAAGCACATAACTAGTTATCCACCCTCTGAATCCCCCTTTGTGATAATTTGTAGCTTTCCCATTATCCCATTTCCTCAATTTTTAGTTTCTTTCCCACTCAGATTGGCACCACCACTGTGAATCATGAAGGCAGCTACAGTCCTTGTCTTGGTCCTACTGATGATTACATACTCTGCTGCTGCAGCTCCGGCGAGGAAGTTGGCAGGAGATGACGGGCAGCAGACAGGCGAAATGGTGACGAAGACGGAGGTGAACGTACTAAACGGGAGGACAGGTTCTGGCGACGGTGAGCATAACTGCCGAATGAGCTGGTTCGTCCCCGCTTCTTGCAAACCAGGTCCGTAAAAACCTGCTTATAAATCGTCATGGTTAAATGGAGAACTCTGTGAACCAGCGACGAATCAAGAAGTACTGGAGGGAATGGTTTATATATGAATAAAGAGACCGATGGTCTACAAGAAAAAGGCAGTCTATTTTAGGTTATACTAGTATAATTGGCAGTTGTACTGCCAGAAACATGGATGTAATTAGCAGGTATAATATACTATCCTCGCAGCCATAAAAGCATGGTATGTTCATGTATACCTTCGGATTGTATATGTATTATGAATTACTGTATATGTATACCTTTGGACTGTATATGTATACCTTTGGACTTTATATGTATTATGCACAAAGATAACTATCAATTCATAGTAGAATTGTAGGGCAACTCAATATTGCACAGGACCAGCCTAAACATTACAGTCAAAAGTAATACATGTTGGTTTTCGCCATTAATTTACTGGACAACTCTCTTCTACTTATATTGAATGTCAGAGCTCCTGCCCTTGTTTTAGCAAAAGGAAAAAGGTATTATCGGAATGTCTATGAAATATGTCTACTGCACTCCTCGCAGGTTCGTATGTAGCCTCGAGCAGTTCAAAATCACTAGCTAAAATTGTTGTACTATGAAATTAATCTAAGTGCATTTCCAAAATCTGACAAATGTGATCATTTATATAACTTAGAGATGTGTTTTTTGTATTACAGAAAAGTGATCATATCTTCTCCTGGAATTTCTTGCATGTACGTACCTACATTAATATTCACCAATGCTCTCATTCCCCAACAAAAAAAGAAAAGAAAAACCCTAGCCCCAAGACAACCTCTCATCCTTGTCCCCGCAGTTTCCAGCAGTCTCCTTCGCCTCGGACAGTAGGTATCGGCGCCGGAGACGGGGAAGACCATGAATCTTTGCGCTCGCTTGGAGCTTCGCTCTAGTTTCTCAGGTGTTTTGTGTCCTCAAGTCGTTCATTCAGGTGGTGGAGAGACGACATCAAAATAGAATAACTAAACACCAGATCATTTTGTTATCTAAGAAAATGAATATCGAAAAAGGCTTCCACCATGCTTTATATATAAAGCAAAGTCCAACAACAACCCAGTACAAACGCACGCCACCACACACACACACATTCAAGGCAGGATACATAAACGCTGAGCGCAGCAACACGACCCCCAAACACTACAAGAGCAACCTGGGACTTCAACAGTGACCACGCCACTGTGAAGAAATGCAGTCACATACGACGAACCGTGAGCTCCAAGACAGTGCCTTCAGAAAGGATACGACACCGAAGCGCCGCCACCGCCCGATCCGAGGATCAGAGTTTCCTCAGGAGCCACACGACGGGCAATGAGAGCCGCTATAACGCCTTCAAGAAGGGCACAAGCAACGCCGCCGGCGGTCCGTCCGAAGATAAAGCAGGTTTTCACCCCGGCCAACACTCACCGCCACCGAACGCCAAACCCTAGTGACCACACCGCCCACACGGCCATGGCCGCCGGGCAGTACCGAGCGACGGGCTCTGCCAAAGAGCACCACGCTACCACCACCAGGGCCGCCGCCCCGGCATCCAAGACCTCGACAATAGCTCACTCGATACCCGTCACTACCCCAACCGAAAAGACGAGCGGACCCCGTGGCAAACTAGCCTCCATCGACTCATCCTGCCGCATCAAGTGCGAGACGAGCACGGTCCTGCTGTCGGGTGTGAGACGGGTGTGGTCCTGCTGCCGGGCGCGAGACGAGCACAGTCTTGCTACCGGGCGCGAGACGAGCTCGGTCTTGCTGCCCTAGCATGAGACTAACGATGGGCCACAACTGGGAGAAGGCCATTCCTACAATGGGAATAGCACCCGGACGACGAGGAGATAGATCGAAGGCCGATATAAGCGGCCTACGGACGAGCCGACGCCAGGGCATACCAGCCGCCGTCATAGCCAACTTGCTAAGCCGCCGTGGAGCCACCCATGGCCGGAGCAGCAGCCACACCGGGCCACTGCCCAACCTGCACCATCCGGCAAGCTCCAAGCGTTGGAGCCACCGGGCACGCACCTTCGCCACCAGACAGCCACCCAAGACGCCATCACCAAGCTGCCCGGACCGACCCCGGTCCGCACCGCCACCAACGCCACCACGCCGCTGCTACGTCTGCCCAGCGGCAAGGAAGAAGCCGCCGACCGCCGCCCAAGCCACCCACAGCCCACGCCACCCGCCATGGTGGCCGCCAGATCTAGGTCATCCCGCGACATGAGCTGAAGCAAGACCACTAGATCGGGCACCACCCCCGCAACCCACCACCACCTGGAGACATGCACACACCCATTGGAAGGGAGGCCGCCTCATGCCACCATGGCAGTCGCCGCATCAGATCTGAGCAGGGCGAACCCTAGCAGACCCGACCGAAGGGGCAGGCAGAGCACGCACAACCCCGCTGCCGTGCAGCCGCCACGCCGCCAACACGCACCTGCGCCACAGCTGCATCCATGCGCCGCCATGCCCCGCACCAACATGGCGCCTCCACCCAGCGGCCATGTCCCGCGCCACCGCCAGCCGAGGGATGAGGAAGACCTACCGCCGACGCCGCCGCCTGCCGGGCTTCGCTCGGCCGTGCCCTCTGGCAGCGGCGAGGGGGGGAGGGAGGAAGGGGGCGGCGACAAAGGGGAGGTTTTCAGAGAAATTGAATAAGAGATGTCAAGTGGTTATAATAAGAAATAGATGTTCTGTATCTTTACAAATAGACAGATGATTTTTTTCTCTTGTATTTTCATGCATAAAAAACCCGTGTTCAGAAATTCTCTTTGTAAAGGAAATATCCAATGTTAGCAAAAGGACTCTTCATTGTACAGGGAAAGTCACTGTAGATCCTAGTGTCCGTATTTTAACATACAGATCAATTCTGAATTAATTTTATACATGGAGCGGAAAGGAAATGCGGGCGGTTGGATGTGCACCCAAAAACGAGACAGGCTTTCGTAAACCTTGGGGCATTGCACCCACAATGAACAGTAAAGTCTGAGTGCAATTTAAGAAATCTCAAACAGCATATACATATGGTAATATAAAAGGAGGTTTCTTATAGTTGTCATTACGACAAGAAATCAAATTTATCGGCAATAAAAACTGAAATAACCTAGAGAAAAAGGGAACAGAAATACACATATAATAGAATACAATGAACACTTGCATGCTTGGACCATACATCTTCTAACTTGTTGAAAGAAATAAAATTATATCCTTCATAGTAACTGAAGAAAGAACATCGCGACGCCGTGAACCTGAAGTATGTCAGAGGCGTGCACGGCAAATCGATGTGACTCAGACCATCCTGAGAACAGATCTATGGGTATTTACGGTCATTGCCATCCACGTTTTATCAGTCTAGCTAGCATGGTTTGGTGCAAATGCACTTCCTCTTCAAGCCGGAGCACTTGCCGCTGGTGAAGCCCTCGGTAAGGCAAATGTTGGCACAGTTTGTGCCAACCATGCATATCCCCTTGAACCGAGTGCTATCCGTCTCGCACACCCTCGCCTCCTCCGCGTACGCCGGCGCCACCTCTGAACACAACACGTCGATTGCCCGTCATTAGGTAGCATGCATATTGATTCGTATGAGCATAGATTTGATACACACCAGAAAGAAATATATTAGCAGATAATAAACCATAAAACGTGCCTAGTTGCTTACCCATGGTGACAACCAGCAGCAGGAGGAGGACGGCCGGGAAGAACTTGTGTGATGACGCCATCATTGGTAGGTGGTAAAAGGGTTAAAAGGGGATGTGAACTACACTTCCTTAGGGCTGGGAAAAACTGAGTGACGGATTAGAAACCCAGTGCGAGCATGAGGTTATATACGAACGCCAACAGCAGCATCCATGGAATTGCGTTATTGAGCACCACCACAAGGCTTGTATGTGCAGAACCACACAGCACCGACGTCATGCAAGGAGATGCATTCAGCACCCGACATATGTAACTAACTGCTATTATTAGGAGTAAACCAGGGCCATACAATTGCCAAATGTACTCTATCATAAACGTACCACTTTTTCATAGAAATCCATAGTGCTGAAACCTGAAAATGAGGTTGTTTGTTCTACTGGTGGTGTTCGGTGGCAAAATTAAAAAGGTGCAACATGTTTTTTTCTTTTTTGAGAAATCACCGGGGGTTCCCCTACCTGAATATATTATTCAAGTTTTGCAATCCATCGTTTGACAGATTACAATAGTGAATTACATAAGCTCGTGTAAGCGTGATAAGAGGTACGAACGCCACAAGGAGGCGACCTGCTTTTCTTCAGCTTCTTCATCGGGTGAATTGATAGCATTAGATCTCAAATGGCGAGCCTGAGAGTGGTAATGCTGTGGTGGTTCTCATGACTGAATGTCATGGCATTTCGAGAAGCCAAAATCTTCCACAAAATAATCAGAAGCATTGTGTGCCATATCCTTGGGTCGACAGTAGCAGGAAGGTAGCAGTTCCAGAGACCGTGGAACGCTGAGTGAGCGGGCATGAGATGAAGATGTCTGCAATGTCCTCGCCTTCAAAACAGCATCTGGAATAAATGGTATCAGCAGCAATGTGCTGGTGCAACAAGTTAGCCTTGGAGTTCAGTTATCCATGAAAGAGTAGCCATGCAAAGTTCTTCACCCTGTCGGCCACTCGAGAGGACTACATCATCTTCCCGCATGGTTAGATCATAGGCAGCTATGGTTGATAAATGAATACCACCGAGGAAGAAGCGCTTATCTGGATATGTGACGGCTGGAAGTCCCGCAACAACGACAAATGGAACCCAACTCGGTAGCAGCAGTAGACCGAAATTCAAAACGGTAGCCACCCTAGCTAGGGGCAGTGTAGTGTGAGAATGTAGACAGGGGAACAGTACTGCTAGTGGTTTATGGTGCAGCCAAGTATCGAGCAAGAAGTAAGCGTTAGTGCCAGCCTTTGTTAAGACAAAGATGATGGATTGTAGAGCTGGCATTTGCTCCACAATGGATGGAAGTTGCTCCGTGA